GTTAAGGCTGATGTTAACTAAATGTTAACATAGTTATGTAAACGAAAGAGTGCCATATGTACTACCTGTTACTGTTATTTGTATGTTAAGGCTGATGTTACCTAAAAAATAACATACTTAGTTTACAAGAGTGTAAAAATACACCCTGTTACTGTTATTTGTGTGCTGTTAATGCTTTATTACAGATTAACTTTAACAGTCTAGAAGCTGTTAAGACTAGGTAACTATTTGTTGCTCATTTAAAATACCTTTTAGCCCACTGAAACTGTTATCTATAAAACGGTTGCTTAACATATTTTAAGAATTAGAGCTGAAAGAGACCTCTGTACTGTAATTTGTATATGCTAAGAGTTCTAAACGCTGTACTAAGAAATTATTTTCCCGTTAGAAGCTCGCAGTTCACATCTTTAAATAATTATATGAGTAGCATATTTAATATTAATTTGTTTTTTCATTAAAATAACAATAACAAGCGGAATAAAATTTATATATTAGCATAATTGTGAACGAGTGGGAAAGCTGTTAGGCAAACACATTCAACTTCCACACACGCGTCACCTGTTTGCCGTGTGTCCACAAAGCACACACACACACAGAGACACACACACACACAGAGACACACCATCTCCTAGTGGCTGTGCGTGTAGCGTCCATTAGCCATGTGAAAAGTTCATTTGCCTCGTCTCATAATTTGCCGCTTGCATGTTGCCAGCAAAGCGGCAGCGTCCAGGCTAGGGGCCAGTCAACGGCCATTGACGCCACCCGCCTTCTAGTCCCGGCTGCTCAGATTACGAGTAAGAGTGGGCAAAAGAGGGCGGGCCGAGGCGAGAGCGGAACAAACACTCGGCACACTCAAGGAGTTGTTACTCACTTCGAGGCTATTTTGAGACACGGCGACGCGTCGCCAAAGTGTGCGAACAGAAGGCCCCACCTTCTCCTTCCTCCATCTAATTCCATTTGCCTGGTCTATTCCCATTCCCATTCCCAGCTCGGCTGCTTCTATTTGCAATTGACAGCTCCACTGAAGCAGCAGTCACTTTCCCAGCGGTATCCAAAACCCATATCCAATCGCATTTCTTCTATTGCTGCCCCCCAAAAGTATCTAATTACGGCGTGTCATATAACTCGGACTCTTACTCTAGTCGAATTCCACTGTGCGCCAAAGGCAACGCCTCCCACAACTGCAAACTGATGGATGCACAGTGTGCTGAGGTATATCAAATATAAAGTGAAAATCTATATCTATATCCATCTATATCAATAGCCAAACGTGGCAACAGTTGGTTAACCAAAAAGATAATTAATATGTTTCATATTATCGTCAAAACTGATTCATTTTCGATTTTTGGTTCATTATTGCCTTTTCCTTGCGCATAATAACAATTTATATAAATTTTGAACCAGCGACGCACCGCATGCTGGTCCGACGCTCAAAACCAAACAAAAAGATAATTTAAATGTTAAATATTATCGTTAAAACCCATTCAATTGTCATTTTAAATGCACTATTGCCTTTTTCTTTGTGCTTAATAACAAATTATATAAATTTGAACCAGCGACCCATCACTTGCTGGTCCGACGCTCAAACTTTAACAGCCGTATTTTCCTACTTTTGAGTTTCTGCTAAGATTTTATCCTTCTAGTTCTTTCGACTTGGGCTAGGCGTTGCTCATCAGTCAGTCAATCAGTCCGTCAAGACAAAGATGTGATTTAATTTGTGACTTGCCCCACTGTACCGTGTCGTCAATTGGCAACGATGTTAGTCGCATTTGGCTTGTGTGTGTGTTTGCGTGTGTTTGTGATTTCATTTTGAGTTCGCGGCTGCCATTCGGTCTGGCACAGGCCCTGAGATCGACCTGGTCGCGACTGGCGACTGGCGGCTGGTGACTGCGGTTGGTGGCTTGTAATCTGTATCCCAGACACACAGTTTTACAATGTAATTTTGTAATTGCAACAACAGCAGCAACAACAACATCAACAACGGCGACGACAATTGCATCTTCTGGGCCTGCGCTGCGGATTTCTGTATTCGATTGCAATTTGGTTGAATAATTTCGTGTGGGAAATTTGCGCGAAAAAGTTGAAATTTTTTTGTTGTTGCTGTTTCTGTTATTTGCTCTGAACTTTAAGCCCAACGGCTAGTATGCTGCTCACGTATAATGCGGCCAAAGTTTTATTTTGTTCAAGTTTTTTTTTGTTTACTTGCGAGCAGCTGACAACTGACAACCAGCTGATAAATACCGCAAACGTAATAATTTTTATTTTATTTGTTTCGTTTCGTTTCGACATTTGATAGCTTGATACGCAAGAGTGCCACGCAATGGCTAGGCTCTAGATATATTGCTCATTATAATCTATTTTTATTTTCCGAAATAATTTACACATTATTTTCATGCACTTTGTTGCGGCTGTTATCAAGGTTGCTGTAGAAATAAAATACTAGATAAAATGTTTACGTTTTTTGCCTAATAAATACTAGAATTCTGATTGGAAGCGAACAAAGCGTCTCGCCAGCTGCGTATCCCGCTCGACGCGAACTGCAATCTGTGACTCAAAGCGGTCACATAATTGTGCGGGACTCTTATCAGTCGCCTCCGTTAGAGGGCTCGTAATACTCATGAAAATGATTTAAAGCTATAAATAAATAATTATAATTGCAAACAAATTGCAGTACATTAACTACAACAAGAACAACAACAGCAAGCACAAAATAAAAAACAACAAATGCGCTTTAAAGGAAAAGCTCATGAACTGGATTATTCCAGTTCATATGAACTACACGCAGCAGAGATGAAACGGAGAACATTCTAACATTGGAATGGATGCCAATTGGACTGGGTGGCAATTGGATTCACATTTAATTGATTACTTTTGAAGAGTTCTCGAGAAGCTTAATGAGTTATGAGCTGGCAGGTGTTAGCTAACGGGTAATTTCCAATAAGATAATGCCAATTGTAAGCTGATTAGCCCACTATAAATCTTAATGTACAGCCCCCGCAGCGCCCACTCGTTGTGGTAGGACATAGCAACAGGAACATAAAAAAGCCATTAGAAAGGGAACACAAAATAAGGAAAAAGGGAAATGTTGCAACTTGCCAAGGCAAACAAATAACCGAATAAGGGAAAATTGTGTGTAAAAGCAAAATAAAGAAAGGAGGAGGAAGGATGACAAATAAAATGCGTGAGCGAGGAAAAACACAGGAAATGTCTGTCGACTAGTTTCTGCCAGTGGGGGGTGGAGGGTGGTGGCAATTGTTGTTCTTGTTCCTCTTTCAACCACTGCTGAGCAGCAGAAGGGTGCGGGTGTGGGTGAGGGGGCAGCAGCAGCAGCAGCATTCGAAACCGCCCTCCAGAAAAATATTTCGAAATTCGTTTCATTTCTTCGACTGGCGCGTGGCTCGCGTGTGTTCTGTTTGCTCTTGTAAACAAAAGCGGCCGACAGCAACAACTACAACAACAACAACAACAACAAGTATGAACAATGCCGGCAACAACAACTACAACAACAACAAGCAAGCGCATTCCGCTCTTATGATAAACGGAAGCAATGAAAACTAGAAATTGGCTCAATCGGAGAACACGGCCGCCCACAGAGTGCACAAGGAGCAAGTGAGAGAGAGCGAGAGAAAGAGCATGAGAGAGCGCTGTCAAATGATAAAACTATATGTGTGTGTGTGTGACAGTGTATACATACACAGTAAGTGCATCGTGTGTGCCTGTGTTAGTGCATATTACACACACACACACACACATACGATTGCTATACTCACCATTGTGTTCGGTAAATATGTTTAAGCCGACGCTGGGATTGCAACGGTTATCCTTGTGATTCGCGTTTGAGCCGCTGCGATGCGCCGACAAGCCGCTGGAGCCGCTCGAGCCGATGCTGCCGCCATGTCCCGCCGATTGGTGGGATTTGATGCGCGAGCTGCGCAGAGTAGAGCCAGCGCTGAGGGCGCCAACGGAGGCGCCGCCGCTGATGCAGTGAGGCGAGCCGGATGCAACGGGACTGCTGCTGGAGACACCGATGCAGCTAACGGTGCCGCCATGTCCGCCACCGCCGCCGCCACCCCCGCCGCTCGAATGGGAGCCGCGCTCCTTGCCCTGCTGTGCGCCCATCCTTCAATCACATGCACTATTATTTATTTATTTTTTGCACAATTTCGTTTTAGCTGCAGCTGCAATTTTATTTGTATATATATATTTATTTTTTTTAAATATATTTTATCGCGTTCGCACTTGCTTTATTTTAATTCGCTGCTCTACACATTTTCTTTCGTGCGTCGTCGTCTCTTTTCTTTCTTTTACGAGATGCGCTCTTTCGTGCTCCACTCACACACACACACGCACGCACACGAATTGCTACTCCACTTTGCAAATTGAGAGTAGACAAAATTCAAGGATGTTGCGAAATTGCCAATCAGATTTTTTTTCTTTCGTACGCAACAATTTGTGGCGACAATTAATATTTGGTTTGCGCTTGACTCATTTTATATATATTTTTGTTTCATTTGTTGAGTGCGCCAGCCTGTTGTGGGGTAGTTGGAGTGGAGGGGGTATGGCTAGGGCTTACAAACACGCCCTAAAATGCACTTTGTCTACCCGTCTTACGTCTTTTGCACTGCTGCGTCTGCGTCTCGTGCGCTGCGCTTCTCACATATTCCGCATATGCAGCGCCCTGCAGAAATTGTAGTTCGTTTTGTAGCTGGGTAACTGCAGCTTTCAAGTTATCAATATCTTTGCATTTTTCCAATTACACACAAACACACACACACAGAAATGAACCACCCGCACGACACTGCGTTGTCGACCAACTTCAATAAAATTTTCAAGACGACTAGCTGCTAGTGTGACCATACACGACTAGACCAAAAATAACTGAAGTGCATTTGTGTACGCGCAGCCAACATTGCGTGCGCTCCGAATTGCGCGCAGCCAACATCAAGTGCGTTGAACAAGTGCGCGCAGCCTACTTCACGTGAGTCTCAAATGTGTTCAATTTAAGTAATCGAACTAGTTCAGCCGTATACAACACTATACAACTCTTCAAGTCACACCGTTCAGATATTCATATATAGATAGTTCTGGAATTTGTTAGTTTTAATTACAAAATAGTCATATATATTCAGATTAAGTAAAGCATTAACAAAGCAGTCAATGTAAGTTGTTTGAATTCACATAAATGTGCCGCACGCATTATGCTACACGTTCAATGTTTGTTTCATATTTACGCCAACAAAATATAAGATGTCGGACTGGGATACGGTAACCGTTTTAAGAAAAAAGGCCCCAAAGTCTAGCCAACTGAAGACCGAATCAGCTGTGAATAATGCACGCCGCCAAGGTGTTGCCGTCGATACCCAGCAAAAATGTGAGTAAATTAAATGACGGCGGCTCTTCTAAAATTTGCCTACGGGCTGCGGGTAATGAGCTGTGTTCGTTAGAGGGAGAAGGGGCGGCGCAGCTGCAATCAATCCCATGTGTATGGCGTGGCGTTTTGTTGTTGTTTTCAGCGGCTTAGTTGTATCAGGAGTGTATGCCTGTGTGCGTGTGTGTACGTGTGTACATGTGTGTTTTTGATATGATTTCGCAACACTTTTGCATTTTCACAACCTTTCGAAAGCTTTCCGACTACTCAACACTAATGCCGGCCATTTTAGCCCACGTCTAGTGCTGACCTACTAACTAAATACAGTGAAAGCTGCAACTAGCGAACAGCTGCTGGCTAGGGCGGCCATCTGTAGCAGCCCAAGAATTGAGTAACAATATTTTAATTAATTTGTCTTCTCGTTAAAATGCTCACTTATATGAAAATATGATTTGGAAAGTGAATAGCATCAAATATATTTGATGCAATATATCGTGCTATTTTTAAACCAAACTGTAAATTGTATTTATTATGTAACCATTTGATTGACTAAATTTTCATACTAAGACTGCCAACTGTAAAGTCTGCTGGCTCGGTTCACAGTTTGAACCAATGTCTAACGTTAAGGTTCATTTCGTGAACCTGTTTTTTTTTTATTCACGTGTTGCTCACAAAATATAATAAAATGTAATTATTTTTTATTTTAACAATTTTTTATATTATAGTTCAGGTTTAGGCTCAGCTGTTTTTTATCCAGCCCGCTTTATTGTAAATAAAATATTGGAAGCAGTTCTGTTTGCAGCCTTCATTTCTACGAGATAACTTAATATAGCAGCTTATAGCTGCACTAGTAGGACGAAAACAAACAAGTAAGAGTGTTTTGGTCGGGAGTAGCCGACTAGGAGATACCCTGTACCCTGTCGCTACACAGATTCTAGCTTCCTTTTATACATACACACACACACACACACACAAAGACATACATCTGCACACACTGCGTCGTCCCTTGGCCCCTCACTATGAGAAATGTCTTTCTGATTTACTTCGGTATTTATTGTCCGATCTTTATGCATTTTTCAGGGCATATTTATGGCAACCGAATGTGTGCAAATACCAAAGGCGAAGACTTTATCGCCATGAGTTTTGTACAATTTAGCAGGGAGGGCACAGCGGGAAGTATCATCCAATAAGTGTACTGTTCTGGACTTGTGTATATTCTACAAGAGTCGACATACTAACTTGGGTGTCTCAGGCTCGATTGTTAGCGAGTTATCGAGCCAGTTATCGAAGATTCGAAACAGACTTGATCTGCGCGGGCAATAAAAGGAGAGAGAGAGAGATCGACGCGTTCTTACAGACGAACAGACAGAAAGTTGAGCTAAGTTAACTTACCTGTAGATGCTGAGTTTATTCTAAATCCGATTGGAGAAGTTTCCTTCTGCCGGTTATACCCTCTTTTACTCACTTATAAATGGGTTCAGGGTACGGCAACTGTTAGAGCAGGTGTGCGCTCAAGCGAGCCTTCACTGTATGGCATTTGGCATTGATTGGTTGTGATTTGATTTGGCTTATTCTCTCATTTGATTGCAGATGGTGCTGGCACCAACAAGCAGCATGTGACCACGAAGAACACTGCCAAGCTGGATCGCGAGACTGAAGAATTGCGGCATGACAAGATTCCGCTCGATGTGGGCAAACTGATTCAGCAGGGTCGCCAGGGCAAGAATATGAGCCAAAAGGACTTGGCCACGGTAACTGAAACTGCACTTTATCTATTATAATTCAGTATTAAAACAGTTTGCATTCATTTAAGAAAATCTGCGAGAAGCAGCAGGTGGTTACGGACTATGAAGCCGGTCGCGGCATACCCAATAATTTGATACTTGGCAAAATGGAGCGTGTGCTTGGCATAAAATTACGTGGCAAGGAGCGCGGCCAACCAATAGCGCCTCCCGGTAAAAAGTGAGATGATGCTGCTGCGTCCACTGTCGTGGTCGCTCCGCCGATGATCAACAAAAATGCCAGACACCAGCAACAACAGGAGTCTGGCGGCTGGAGCACCGTCAGCAGCAGGCGCAAATGAAGCACTATCGGGAGGCTGTCGCACCAAACAAAATCGGGTTAGCAGCTAAAAACACAAGCAACAAACAAACACGAGGAGAATGAACGAGTTAAGATACCACAACAACTACAACAACAACAACAACCACAACCAATCCAAGCAAACAAACATGAGCGCCAAACAACAACAAACGCATTAAATTCTTTGCCACATTTGCTTTTCTTTTAATTATAACAACCCCGTCCCCATTTATTTTGCTGACAAAAATTCAAACATTGTAATTCAATATTGGTATAACAAAAAAAAAAAAACCGCACACACACACACACACACGCGCATACCTCAAGGGACAATGCACAAACGGACACGACAACAACAAAAAAACTGAACTCAATGAAATATTTCTATTAAATTGAGTCACAAACAGCTTGAAATGTTGTGCTCATGGCTGGAACAAAAATTGTTTTGTTTATTATTTTGCTCATTTTGGCATATTTAAAAAATATATAAATTATTGTTTTGTTTATGGATACATAATGTTTATGCATTTAAATGAATATATACACATACACACACATGCATACAAAAGTTCTTTTAATCTTAACCCCAAGCCGAACTCTAGATAAACTAAAAAATTCCTTTAGTTTTATTAACCCGAACTCGAACCCCCAACACATCCAAACTTAAGCTCATCTTGTGGTTGTTCTCATTGAAAAAAATTAAAAAAAAAAAACAAAAAGAGAAATACATTAAATATATTTAACATTCATATAAAATATGCATGCATCATAAATACATATACCCATGTATGTGTACTAATTTAGAGCTTAGCCGATCCTTTTTGTAATCTATCATATATTATAATAATGCCTAGTTTCTAGGCTCTTGAAATGTGCGTTTACTTAAATACACACATACACACACACACACACACACACACACACACAGAAAATACATATACATACGAGATATAAGTATTTTAGCAACATTTTCTAGTCTAGTATTAACAATTATTGCGATCTTTTGCTATCGCCACATTTTGGAGAACTAACTTCCTTGCGTAAAATTTATGCAATTAAAAAACTTAAAAAAACAAAACAAAAAACAACTCAAAAATTAATAGTATATGTATACATGTATGTGTAGTAAAACATTTTCCGACAAAAAATAAATGTTTTTTTCCCCCACACATCATCTACGTGAAATTCAAATCAGTTCCAAATTATCTGAAACTTTGAATGGAAATAAAAGAAAAATTATCTATGAACCTGGGTCAACTTTAATTTCCCGGTCTCCTCTTGAGTAACAAAGCAATTGTCACGTTTTTCGTCACACAGCACGCAATTCTCTGCGAGTTAAACATCTTCGAACTGGAGTATTATATTTTAGCTGAAATTAAGTTTTAAGGGAGAACTAAACTTAACCTATTTGTAAAGCTATAAATGAGCGCTGAAGAGAATTAGTTTTTAGATAAGTTTTCCATGTGAAGAAGGATCAAGGTTCGAATCCCAGGATAGTAATGTCCAAGTCTTAGACTTCTAATGCTTAAAGAATATTTTTTTTAATTTTTGTATTCTATACTTATACTAATAATAATTTAAAATACATAATAAGTATAGAATTTTGTATATAATGTTTAATAATTGCATACATAATCTGAACTAACAGTGTTGCATAAGCTTTTTAGATGCGCCAGTGTAGCTTACTTTACTATAGTTAACAGTTTTTTAAAGGCTTGAAAAAAATAATTAAAGCTTCGGTCGTATAGCAGTATGTTTAGGATTTAGAAGAGACAAAATTTGGTTACTTGAAAGCGGATCTAATTGTTATCTAAAAGGCAACTTAAATTCCAATTGGAATGATAGTGGAATCTGTAACTTAACTGTTATAAGCGCTGTAAAAATTCACTTACAGCGCTGTAATTAAAATATTAGCATGCAACAAAGCTGACTCATCACAGGCTCATTTCTGTTAACTGGCTTAATTTACTGATGTTAAAAATTCAATTGGAATATTAGTGGATTCTGTAATTGAAGTGTTATACATTACCTTAAGCGCTGTTAAAATTCACTTCAGCGGTATAACATAAAATGTTAGCATGTACATCACAGGGTGATTCAGGTTAACTGGCTTGCCAAATGGAACAGAAAAATATTTGAAAATGAATCACAAGAATAAAAAACACATTTCCGTTTCCTTTTTCCTTTGTTACATTTTATTTATCCGTTGTTTTTCTTAGCTTTTCATCAATTCTTTTTTCTTTCTTTACTATTTTACCCGACAAAAAATTCAATTTGTTCGCTTAATTTTCTTGTTTTTTTTTTTTTTGTTTTTGAATTTCGTTCACATTTTGACTGGCTCGCAGGATTACGCATGCGTATTCCGCTTTGCTTCAGCTTTCTCATTCTCTCTCTCTTATTTTTTTTGTTGTTTGTCTCTTAACGGTTTTACTTATCATGCATCGTTTAGACTAAATTAACTTTTCAAGTAGGACTTTTTGCTTGTTGTTTTACGCTTCTTCTTCTTGTTTGCTTACAAATATAAATATATAATTTAAGCATTTGCTTTCTTTTCTTTGTTACGTTCATCGAGGACTGTTTGCTGCTTCTTCTTCCCTATTTTTTTTTATTTTTTACTTTTTTTTGTTACTTTCTCACGCTGTTAGAAACTTTGATCTGGATCGTAAAAATTTCAAAAAATAAAAAATCGAAACTAAATGCACGCCCCTGCACGTTTTATCAAAATTAGTTATTGAATACAGTTTATGTTGTTGTTTTTCTTTGTTTTTGTTTTGTTTTGGTTTTTACTTTACAATAACAATTTGCGCTTTAGATTGAACAAGTTTGGGGAACTAACCTATATATGAGAGCAATTTCTTTTCTTTTCTTTCATATTTCGAGTTCGCTGGCTTTAAAAATGTCGCGACTTAAAGTACAAATCAGTTCCAGCTACATAAAAAACATGCCCAGAAAATACCAAAAAATGCGCGCTTGCCAACACAGAAGTTATATAAGTTATATATATATGTATATATATATTGTATATGGGTAGATATATATATGGGTAAGTATTCGTAGGGATAACTGAGCGGCGGTCTGAACTCAACTTGAGAATGTTTCTATATAAATATTTTTTTTGTCGTAAATCCTTTTACAGTTAGAAAACAAATGAAAACTAGAGAACTTTGGGCTTACACTGCACTATCAAAAAAAAAAAAAACACACGACTTGTATATATAGCATATATAGTATACAGACTATATATGGTATAGCGCCAGACGAAAAGGTTTTTACATTGCATAGCTAACTTTTTACAAAACATCCAACGAATTGGGCTGCGCTTCGAATTTAGATCTCATTATGTACATGACGTTATATAAACATATATGTGGAAATTTCTATATATATAAATATATATATATGTGTGTGTGTGTGTGTGTGTGTGTGTGGGTGTTTTAGTAAGCCAGCCGCCTGGTAAAACTCTACGCTTAAAATTAAATTTATCAAACGCCCCTCATGTGCGCCTGTCTCTTTCTCTTTCTCTGTATGTGTGTGTGTGTGTGTGTGTCGGGCCTTTTAAAATTAAAAAACAACTTTTACACCTCGGTCCTGCATAAATAAATGTCCTTAGCCTTTAGTTGGGGGAGGGGGAGGAGGGGCGCTTATAGTTAGGCTCTACTGCGCCTTGGCCTTGCGCATATAGGCAGCCTGTGCATCCTCGCCGACATATTTGCCGGACAGATTGGAATCGGAGGCGGATGCCGTTGGCCCGGACAGCTTGGCGGTATTCTGGGCAACGAGGGAGGCGGCCATGCGACGGCTCTTGTGTCCGCCGGGCGACAGGTACGCCTTGTAGAAGAAGCGCGCGAACAGCACAAAATAGCTGAAATACATGGCGATCGACAGATTGATGTTGCGCTGCGATATGTTGCACGATTGGTGGCCGTGCGTCTTCAAAAATCCGTTCGCCCACACATTGATCGCACAGCCAACGATCATTTGCGTCAGCTGCAGCGACGTGATGATCATCGAGATGAACCGCGGCGGATTGAAGCGGGCCGCCTTCAGTGCATAATAGCTGTACATCACCGAATGCACACAGTAGTTCATCACAATGAACCAGCGCGCGGAACTAGTGTATTCCGTGTAGCTGAACCACGAGTAGATCAGCACCGTAATGTGATGATACCAGTGCAGGAAGATCAGCGGCTGTTTGCGCAGCACTATGAATATCGTATCGCCCAGTTCGGGCAATTTGCTCAGCACAAAGAGCCAGGTCCAGAAGCCGCACACGCGATCTTGTTCAATGTAGCTACAGGCGGGCGAGAGGGAGATGGGGGGAGAGATCGAGAACGAGAGCGTGCAAAATCAGGTTTTATTATTTGCTCTGCTGCTTTGACCTTGCGAAAATATTCGAATCTCACCTGGGCACACAGACCGAGTGGAACAGTCCGTAGTGACGCAGCACGTGCAACAGTTCCGGCGCGGTGCGAGCGGCGCCCATTATGCTGAACATCGCCAGCAGCGTGTTCCATATGATCAGCGGTCCACGTAACTGAAATCTGTAAAAATCAAATACGAGTTTAATCGTTAGTTAATGCAGTTACAGCAGGGGCATGAAAAGCTTCAAGATCGTAGACATATGCTCTATAATATCCATTTATCGATATATCCAATGATCGATATAGCCAATTATCGATATATCTCAGTATCGAGATAGCAAATTATCGATATATCCAATTATTGATACATCCATTTATCGATATATCCAATGATCGATATAGCTAATTATCGATATATCCATCAATCGATATATCTCAGTATCGATATATCCAATTATCGATAAATCCCAGTATCAATATGTCCAATTATTGATATATATAATAATTGATGTATCCAATTATTGATACACCCATTTATCGATATATCCAATTATCGATACATTCAATTATTGATATATCTAATTATCGATATATCTAATTATCGATATACCCAATTTGAACAGTTTCTCTACAAACAAGTCTCACATTTTTCAAGCTAGCTTTACTTTATAAACTTGATAAAGTTCTATATTATTTCTATATTTATGTTAACTATAGATCGGAAAGTAAGTTTTTTCTTAAGCCGCCCGGATCGGACCCCTATATCATATAGTTGCCATAGAAACGATCGTCCGAAAAGTAGATTGTTCTATGGAAAACTTTTATGTTCATAAATATATCTTAACCAAACTTGGCATTTATAAGTTTCAATATGCTACCTACATGTATGAAAAATCTTATCTACATTGGAACGCTATATCATATAGCTGTCATAGGAACGATCGGTCGAAAATTGGGTACTTGTATGGAAAACTTTTTTGTTTATTAAGATATCTTGACAAGCTCCGGAATTTACTATTTTCACAGTTCTGTTTATATAAGAGTCAAATCTACTATATTATATAGCTACATAGGAAGAATCGGTCGAAAAATGAGTATGGGAATATATTGTGTTTTCCAAGATATTTTGATAAAACTCAGCATTTGCAAGCTTTACTATACTCACAGATCTTCAGCGTGTCGAAGATATCCTAACTGAACTCTGGAACTGTCAGTTGCCATATGATCCTAGCACAATCTTATCAACATCCGCTAACTACATATATCATAATACACCTGTCATAGAAGCTTTTGTTCGAATATGAACTGTTTTGTAAAGTAAATTTTGTATATGAAATATTTCCTGACTTTTACAAAAATGAAACCTAACTGCACAGACTTCTAAAATATTCTCGAAACGTTAGACTCGTTACCGAGTCGCTCTGTCTAGAGGTTTGTCATAGTTTGTCTTTGTTTTTTCTTTTGACTGTTTATGAATATGCAAATTTGCATTGCATAAAGCAAAGATCAACAAACTTTAAAGTTAGTTAAGGGCGGGGTGCTGGCAGGGCGGGATCAGGGGCGGGGCTGACGTCAAAGATTAAGTGTTTTGTGAAAAATGAAAATCAACAAAAACAATGCCAAAATGATTTGTCAGTCATTGAGATTTCATTGAGTGTTTATCATTAGCCGAGATCAATTTGAATTTGCTCGACTCGAGTCTCCAATTTGGTGTTAAACTTGAAGGCCCCTCTACGTATATACTTATATGCACATATGTATATATATTATTTAGCTAGATCAGGCTAATCGTTTGGGGTTAACACGCAGCCTGCTGATGACACAAGATTCGCATTTCAGTTATCAGATCACTCGCCTGCGTTGCCAATATTATTTGAGAATCGACAAAAGTCTAGAGTATGGCGCAATAGAAACGGATCATAACACCTGCTGAATACCCTTCACGAAGGACAAGCTGCTCAGATTAGAAACTGACTTTTATTTAGAAACATAAACTGTTCTCTATTTGGAGAACATTAGTCAGCTAATTGATCCAGCTACACACTCTTGACTAAAGGCTAAACATTGTAGATCTGTGAATTATATAGACTAAGTAAAGTTCTTTATCAATATTAACTGATATGCCTGATCATGCAGAGAACTGATCAGTGATATCAGTGATGCATGTATTTTAAAATATCTTTAAGGAGGCAGCTTTTTATTATTTAATATTAAAATATATGCTGATCTGCAAGATCATATGAAGATCCAATCGATCCAGTCCCAGATTTAGGGCTGGGACTGTACATCCTTGAAGAACTTTATCACCAAAAACTGATCCTCATAATCAAACGTTAGAGAACTGATCGATTGAGAAGATCCAGCTGTCATTAAACTGATCCTCTTGTTAAGATCTTAATTGGAAGAATAAGACCTTAGGGAACTGATCGATAGAAAAGAGGCAGATGGTATTGATCCTCTGATCATTATATAAAGAAATAGACTAAAATTACAATACTTGATCTTGCATATTTCTATACAGATCTTAACTTGTAAGAATCTGATCGATAGAGAAAAATCATCTGGTATAACTAATCCTTTTGATCATTGTGTACTTCTATAACTTGATCAAGCAAATTTTCCATACTTGTACGAATCTAACTTTAGGGAACTGATCAATAGAGAAGTAATTACCTTGATCTCTTGATCATTGTTTCGATTACTTGATCTTCAAATTTTTATACAGATCTTTACTTGTAAGAATCTAACGATAAAGAATCAGCTGGCATTAAACTGATCCTCTTGATCGGATCTTAAATTGTAAGAACCAATCGTTAGGGAACTGATCGATAGAGAAGAATCAGCTGGCATGACTGATCCTCTGGATTACATGATCAGTTTCTATAGAGATCTTAACTTGAAGAATTAAACGTTGGCGACCCAATCGATGGAGAAGAACCAGCTGGCATTATTCTGATCCTCCTGATCATTGTGTAGTTTTATAACTTGATCATGCAAATGTCCAAACAGATCTTAACTTGTAGGATCATATCACGATCGCCCGAGAAGAACTAGTTGGTATTGATTCTCTTGATCATTGTGACTAACGATTACTTGATCTTGCAAATTTGTATACACATCTCATACTGTAAAACACAGACTTATCACAGCAACTGCTTGAACAATGTACTATTAGAACCCCATTAGACGATCCACTTACTACATTATAGGGAAAACAGGAATTTCATCTATAAAATTATATATGTATCTGAGACACGTGCTGTAAGTACTTAGCATAGCATAATAATTTATGTTTTTATCACATTCAATTAAATTTCCTTTACGATAATCTTGCAACGGACTGAGAACATGTTTTGCATTTCAAATGAGCTCTGAACTGTTTTATTTGTTATGCGTTTTTAAAGTGTGATCTGTTTATTTGTTGAGCACCGCGTAAATGCGTCGAAATGGAAAAAAGTATGACTCAAGGGCGTGCCGGCTCTGACTGGACATGAGTAAGTCAATTGACCGGCAAAAAATAAAAACGAAACAATATAAATAATAGACGGGAGTTTATACCTAGGAGATACCCTGTAACAAAGTCGAGCTGTCATTAATATTATTTCAATTTCCTTCTATGCATAAAACTCACAGCTTGTTAAGCTTCTGCTGTGCTTTTTTTTCCCTCTAGAATCAACCCTAAGGAAAATGCCTTCGTGACTAAGTTAACTTCGGACTTTATTGTCCGATCTTTATGAAACTTTCAGGGAATAAATATGGCAACCAAATGTGCTTAAATAACAAATACCAAGATCTTAGCTTCAAAAAATTTTATTTTTGGGTGAAATGGGGCATGTTATCCAAAAAGTATGATATTCTTAATATGTGTGTAATATACGAGTACCAAATTTGGAGTCTTTAGTTCTTATGAGTTTCGAAATATGTAAAAAAAAAATAAAGGATTACGAAACAACTTTCGGGGATCGGAGAAGCCTCTCCCGGCTTCTTCCATAACAATCAGTCTACTCCCTTTTTCAACCCATTTTCAATGGATTTAGGAATTGAAAAAAAAATAAGAATGATGCATATCAGTCAACGACTCAGCCCGCTGCTAATCATATTGCTCGCATTTCGTAAAATGAAATAAAAATACAAGTTCAATAAATAATTGTTGTTTATCTGCCTGAAAAGTGGACACCTTATCACGCCAGAATTACTCATAAAAATCACTATATAATGTCTGGCTAAAAAAAATAAATAAAAAAAAAGACGATAACCGATGACGGCGTACGCGGAATGTGGCGTGTTAAATGTTTGTTCACAAATAATCAGCAGACAATTAGACAGCTTGACTTGTCGGGTCGAAAGGTGCCACAAACTGTTAAGTCGAAAAAAAGGAATGCATTTTGAAAGAGCTCTCAATTTGGATATATTAATAGGCAGACATATTCTGCAGCTTTAATTTAAGATCTGCGGAGCTGGTCAACAATAAAAATAGCCAAATTCCATATCTGTTTATCAAGTGCATAAAGCTTAGCGAGAAAGATAAAATATATAACTAATTTCCGCACATGTTGACCATTTCTTTTCTTTTCGTTCAAAGTCTGCACAAAATGTCAATTTTGCGTACAGTTTATGACTAAGTCTTAAGTTTATAACAGCACTTGTGTTATCGATAACGTTAATTAGAGATTTTTTTATTTTTGCTCAAGCATTACTCAACACTAATAAAGATAGTAACTGCCGTGGGGTATCAGAACCAATCAAGCGTGCGTTAAACAAACAACTTGAGAGATCCAAGTCCAGACATTGTCTTAATAGTATATATATTATATACACATATCGTAGTGCTAAAATTGTCAGAGATAAGAGAGCGCGAAGACGTAGACACGAGGCGAACTTGCTTAATGGACAATTAAGCTGCGTATGCTGCGCGCTGTTCGTCACTTTTATTTCAAGTGGAAGCGTTTAATTCGCAACTATGTTGAATCCAACTATATATCTAGATGCTGCAACAATTTAGTAGCTAGAAGCAGAAACGAGGATAAACAAATTGTTTTTATTTAAACGAATCAAGCAAAGGCGCGTTGTAAGTAGTCGCATTTAACGATTTGGCACGGCGATGCGCTGCTGTTTGGGAATTTTAACATTTTGCAACCCTTAAAATTCACAAACGGTTCTGACGCGGCGCGCAAGACTCGCGCGTTGGCCACACTGTACAAATCGTGCCAAAACATAATGAGTAAGGAAAACCAATAGGCCTTGCTAATCGCTTGGCAGCTTGGCTTCTAGGCAGAGGGACATCCAACCGGCAGCCCAGCGCTGCCGGCGTTCCTTGAAGCTCAATTTTTGATAGGGCACAGGTCGTCCCCGGCGAATGCAGAGCGGCGGACCGGCGCCTACTTTGTGTCCGGTTTGCTGCTGGCATTTTGGGTGAAGCGATCTGCCCGTTAAGTGATGCTTGGGAAGGGGGGAAAAGAGCCTAAATTCCAATTAAAGTTTCACTTTGGTGTGTGTGGGGGGAGGGCGACAGCAAATATGCGAAAATTGCATAAGCAGCAAGAGTTACGAATGAGAGCGAGTTGGTATTTAGCAAAGCTCTCTCTCTCTCTCTCTCCTCATGGACAGTGAGCGAAATTGAGAGAGCGGCAGCAAAGTTGGCACTAAACCAGATTTTGCAATACTGGACTTTTCAGAGATTATGCAAGCTGTAAACAAATAAAAAATGAGAGAGTGAGAGCAAAAGAGAGAGAGAGAGCGAAGGAGAGCGTTTGATGAACCAAAACAATATCAAATACTTGACTTTTTGTTTGCTTTTTCTTTTTGGGACCTGATTTATGCAGTTCCAAAAACACAGATACACAAATACATTTGTAAATATGTGTATAATAAATAAGCATGTCTGCTGTTTATGGCTGCTTTGCACTTTTGTTTCGTTTGCCTTTGGGCCACAAATTCGCAACATTGTCTCGCTGTTGACGGCATTTCCATTTTTTTGACTTTGTTGTGTTTCTCTCATTTTAATTTGGCCAACATTTTGTTGTTGTATTGCAACACTTTTGCGGTTTCCCTGTTTTAGTTACTGTCAATTTTGTTTTTTTTTTTTATACATTTTTTTGCATTCATTTTTAATTTGTTTATACATAATTATTATGCCCGTCTGAATAAAATTGCATATGAGATGACCCATTGACCAACATAATTTTTCGCTTAGTCTTATGTAATTATTTCACGGCCAGAGTTAAATGATAGCATTAATCTCTAACTTTTTGGATTTTTGTTAACATTTCCAAAGCCTCATTTATTTATGGCCATCTAATTACACTTGAGCTATTTTAGGTACTGATTTTATAAGCACTTTGGCAACAGGTGTGATGCAAACAGGTGTTTTTTTTTTTTTTAGATTACAATTCATGAAATTTCCATTAAAATTCTGTCTAGCCTGAGATTGTGAATAAGCCGTCTTATCTCCAGTGTTGCCGCTTCGGCTATTTTCTAGCTTAATTCGGCTATTTTTAGAGCGTAAGCTATTTTTTGGCAGCTTAATGAGAAGAAATCCTGTGCAATTATGCTTTAAATATAATTAAGCTAGTTTTGGTATTTTGGTATTTTGTACTTTGGATTTAGTTATTTTTTTAAAGCGACATTTGGCAACACTGCTTATCTCATCCTTCAGTTTTTACCCAGCGTTCATAACTGTTTTTATATATATACAAGGAAAAAACGAGCGAGAGAGAGCTTTCAAAATGCGACGCATATGCAGCGCATTGTGTTAAATATTTAAAGGTCAGCAATGCGCAAAATACGTAGAATGACCGAAATGCGAGCAGGTGTAGCAGCAGTAACCAAAAAGGTAAATAAGCTGAATTTATGCCGAAAGTAAAAGTGTAAAAATGTGGCGTGATTGTTGACGATCGCCCAGATGCTGCCAATAAAAAGAGCGTGAGAGACGAAGGGGGAGAGAAAGAGAGAAAGAGAGTGCGTAGGCTCAGCTCTTGATGCAGGCGCAGGTAGACAGAATCGAATTTCTGCTTTGATTACATTTCTGGCTGCTGTTGCTGTTGTTGTTGTCGTAAATATTTGAATGACACACTTTAGTAAGATGCTCTCTCTCTCTCTCGTTGGCTCAAAATTGTCACAGCTAACGGTTGTTTGCTTGTGCCAACCTTTAAAGTTTCACTTTTTCTCATGGCATCTGAATTTATTGCCGCGTGCGCATAAAAATGAAATATACTTATGTAAATATGTGTGTGTGTGTATGTATGTAGCTGTCATTGTTGATGTCGCTTGTAATTGCAAGCCCTTTGCGGTAATTATTTTGCTGACACGCCCACTCGACACGTTATGTCACGTCGCGCAATTATTTTTATAAAATTATGCTACTATTTTTTTTTTTTTACCACAAGATGAGCTGGGCGGCTTAAGGGAATGAGCTTTCATTATAATTCATTATATGCAATTATTTGCAACAATGCCTAGGCAAGCTCAGGACACTGTGCGTGAGGGAAATTTCAGTTACTTGCGTGCTGAGCACACATAAAAGGACTTTTTTTTCATTGTTGGGTTAAGTGCGGTTAGGGCTGAAAAGCGGGTATTTATAGGGCAAGCACGCACGTACATATGTGCTTTGTAATTTTACGCACACATGCACTCACACACACACGCACACTAACAACTATTATTGTTTAGTTATAATGTGGGCTGGCACAAAAATGAAACAATTTTCTACAGTGGCTTACTCACAATTACTCAGCGTTCTTAAAAATGCTCAAATGAACAACAGCTGAAAAACTGTTTTTTTTTTTTTACCTGTCAAGGTCAGGTGTTTTTCAATTTCATTCGGTTTTTTTAGAATTTCCAACTATAATTATAGTTTTGCTCGTTTAAAATGAATTCAAAGTCGATTGGTTTGAACTAAACGAAAAACACCCAATTTCCACCATTGACGGCGGAATTGCAGAGTTCGTTGACTTTACCTATGTTAATTCTAATTGGAATAACAATAAGTTGCCTTAATTTTCACTGACAACTTAAAAGAGCGCTACTCTGGGAAAATGAGCTTCTGTCAGAGAATTAAAAGAGATCTTTTGGTTGTTAACTTAAAAATATCACGTAATATGTTAGGCGGCAGTTAATTATAAATCAACTCATTGTTATTCAAATGGAATTAACATACATAGTTAAATTTAACTATTTCTTGCTGTATTTTAAATAAGCCTGACCCCGTATATAGTCATAAACTTTTGCACAGTGTCACACACACACACAGCTCTCTCTATATAGAGAAACATATCTATCTGTGTGTGTGTGTGTGTGTGTGTGTGTGTGTGATGATGCTTCCCACCCACACACACACAGACAGACAGGCTGTATGTTCTGTATGCTTCTAGATTCTGTGCCCCCATCATTCATATACGGAGAAGCTCACGCAACACGCGCCGAGGCCGCAGTACACAGAGCTACAAAATATTTGCACAGCTCTCGTGTGCGTTTCAGATTTTGTGTTTTCCTTTTATGGTAATTACAATGTTTGCATAACTATTTTGTATACCCTCAAAATGGTTCAAAAAGGGTATAATGCATTTTTTGGAATGATTTGAAATTTGAAATATTTATTCGCGTATTGCAAATACAAAATTTATTTATTTTTCTACGATATCTCCTATTTTCACAATATCTAATTTGAAACATGGTTTTTTTTAGGTGGAACTCGGAAATTATAAAAGCTGGTTACACCAAACTTGGTATGTAGCTTTTCGTATAGTAAATAGATTTATCTTTTTGCATACCATAATTAAACCTGGAGAATTTCATATAGATCGGACTCTGAAGACCGATTTTAATCAAGACTTTGGGGCAAGGGAGAGCAAAAATAAAGTCTCTGTATAGCTTGCATGTTTGGGCCTGGGTATCTCTTAGTCGGTCACACTCGGCCACAGCACTCTTATTTATTTAATTTATTATTGTTGCGTTTTGCTTGCGGCTGGCAATGCCAATTAGCATTTCATGTTGGCCAGTGTAAGCGTGCAGCAATGTTGCCGTGTGGTAATTGAATGTCCTGCGCTTTGTAAATCCCCAACTACGCCCCACTGCCAGCTGTTGCCAAGCAGCAAGAGACACACCCACTTCTGGCATGTTCTTGTTGTGCCACACGCACACACACACACACACACACACAGGGGAGGGAATTACATCTATATGTAATTTCAATGGTCGTGCTTGGTGCACCGAAATGTGGGGTTAACCTGGTGCCGTATTTAAATGACTTTGAATTGACTCTCCAAGTGGAAAACGAGTGTAAAAATATGTAAATGTTGCCAAACCATGAAAAGAGGGGAATACCAAGGTTACCGATTTAATTCATTAAAAGTTTCCAATTACATAAAGTTTAAATATAATGTGCATAAAATAAGGAAAATGAGCAATGAGAATATGGGAATAATGAGAATTAAAGGATTTTTCATGGTCTTATTTCAGTTAATTAAATTGAAATTATATTTAATTGATTAAATCTAAAAAAAAAGATAAGTTCCAAGGAGAACAAAAACTTCTAAAACTGGGAAAAAATTAAAAAATAACTGCGAGATTTAATAATTATTTATAAGATCAGGTCTTAATTCTAATTGCAATTCAATTAATTAAATCAAAATAATATTCAAATTATATTTTAAGTTGAAAATAGATAAGTTCAAAAGATAAATAAAGTGCAATAAATGAACATTTAGAACAAAAATTGAGAGATTCTATAAAGAATCTAACTTTAGGATTTATAGGATAGACTTATACTTAAGGATTATAATTGTAATTTAAGAAGCTAAAAATTGTTTATAATAATCTTTCAAGCATAACATATACTATTTTAGTACAGTAAACACTCGGGCCTAGATATATTGTGTTAAAAAAGAGAACAAAAATTCTTCAAAATAAGAATTCTTAGCTTCCAAAGCGCGTTTCTGTTATCATTTGCGAGCGTTCACTGTAGGGGTTCGTTTTTTTTTTTTAAACCTGTGATCGAATTACTATATAATTTACCCCCATCGTGAATCATGGTAAATGATATCATAAACAATTACGACAGCCAGTTTAATGTTGCTTTTTTTGTTTTGTGGCAATTTTTTATTTTGCCGGCCCCGAAAGTTGTGTTGAATTCCCCTGATAAGAGCGCGTTCCACAAGCGGGCGACTCGCCGCGGCCCAGCACATGGACTGGCTGCCCGGGCTGATAACAGGCGCGATGCGCGCGCTTCTCTCTAATATATATAATAAATATATGTACTTGAGCAGAATACCCGGCGTCGAGCGGCTCAGAAGAGATTATGTTGACAATGCACGTGTTTTTGCGTTTGACCTTGAGAATGTCTGCGGAGTTTGAGCCAGCGACTTGCTGTTTACTAGTTCGACGCTCGAATACCTAGACTACTATTTAAAAGAACTTTTGCAGAATCCCATTTTATTGCTTATCTATGATCCAAAGGAAAGTTTCTTTAAAAATTTAGCTATCTTACGTTTTGGACTTTCGACAAACCTCTATTTATGTATAGAAAGTAGAACCCAATTCTCAGCTGAAATAAAAATCAGAAACCGCAATGAAAGGCGAGTCAAGCGCAGGTCAAAAGCCGCTTGGCTGGGCAAAAGGTGCAACGTGATAAAAATGTGTGTTAACCCTTTGCCCCACACCAACCCTGCAGTTGACACCTTTCTAAGTGCCAAGTCCGCGTGTCTGTCCAGCTCCATGTGTGTAAATATTGAAACGGCATTTAAAGTGTAAAGCTATAACAACAACAACTACTTTATATATATATTTATTTATTTTGGAATATTTCTTTTTTTTTTTGGAGAAGCGGCAATGTTGTCACCGCTTAAGATCTAGGCGTAGAGCCAAGCCCCTTTGGGCGGAATCATCCATTGGATTCGACAATCAAATCGAAGCGTGTAGGTTGTCCCAAGAGCGTGGAGGAACGACACGCTTCAGCTTACTATTATATAAGACATTTGATTAAAGTGCGTCAACAGAAGAATTTGTTGGGCCGCGTGGAATAGTTCGATGTCGACGTGAAAATGTGTTATGACAGACAAACGATTGCGATAAGAAAGTGAATTTAATGGAGGGCAAATCGAAATTGCAGTAGTTTCTGACAAACAAACGAAACGTTTTAAAAGCAATTAAAATTTGCTAGTTTTTTTTTTATAGTATAATTAATCTATACATAAGGCATTATGTGGAAAAAAAAACCTATGTAAATATGGACATCTGGATTTCTAATTTATATAACTCGAGAGCTGGAAAGTCACAGTTTAAGACAATTTCACTCAGAAGGGTGAGAAACAGGTGAAATACGTATTACAACGACATTTGATATTCCACTTTTACTGGGTGAAAAATGCGTGAAAGACAAGTTATTGAACTTAATTTATTAATATTGGAAAAACTATATACAAATTTTCCAAAATCCACTTGCCTGTGTGAAAACAGGGTGGAAATTGGAGACATATATGATATATTTAGAATAAAGATTCCAAAAAAATATATTTATATGGATTTACGATATCAAGAACCCGAGAGAAGAAAATTTCACTTTAAAAATTCATTATATTTGTTTTCCCTTCATTCCACTTCTCTGTGTGAAAAATGAGTGGAAATTAAAAAGAAATATGATGAAATAAGATATATTTCAAATAAAATTTCGCAAAAAAGACTACATTCCATTTTCTATACAAAACGAGATCGTTTTAATGCAAATCTCATGATATGCCTATGGATGTCATGTCACCAAACAATTCACGTAGGCAAAGCCGAAGACAATTAGACAGGTTGAATTGCATAAACGCAAGCACAACTGTGCACAATCAAAGGGGACACAGATTGTAAAATTTGACAAAATTGCAACAATCTATCTTTTTTTGGGGTCATTTGGACATGCAACGTGTTTTATATTTGTGGATTGTTTTGCAAGACTCGGATTGTGAACGTGATCGGACCCTATCTGGACGTAATAGTTCATGGGGATTGACTATAATTTTCTTCAATTAGGGCGTGGCAGCGAGAATTTGTAATGAGCGAGAGACTAACGGCACCTGAAGATTAACAGTCAAACACTTTTGCACGGCAATCGACAAAGTAAAACTAATTATTTGTTACGTGTATACGTAATATCGTGTAGAAGCAACAGCAGCTGTACGGGATTCCATTGAAATTGCACACATGAAATGAAAGTATGCATAAACACATCCCATATAGTAGTACTTATGCCATATATTTATATTTATTTCTATACATAAGCGTTTGAAGCAAAGTTCTGGAAGCGTTTGTCGCTGTGGCTCTTTGTTCGATTTGTTTGAATTGAGCGCGGGCCTCGGAAATCGAATTCTGGTTAAGCTGGTTGATTATTAATGTTAAGCCAAATACAGCTACTGCATAGTATGATAATATATTAATCTGCATATGGCGAGGCAGATAAGTTTCAATAGCAGCTAAGCATTGGGTGGCAAATCCCTCGTGGTCAAAGTTCACAAGCAAATCGTATGTACTTTGCGTCCAGAGATAACAAGTTCCTACACGAATTCGAATTCCAATTAATATCAACGCATTTATCAATGTATATCGGAATTAAATTGACTTGGCAACAAACCTGATGGATTAGTTAAAGTTAAAGGGATTTATTTATTTATGACTTGAAGAAATTACCCGGCTTCACAAGGCAGCTCAAGTTTCCAACACACGCGCGACTCTTTCGCTTTCTCAGCTGGAGTTGAACCGGCTAGCTGCCGCGTGCTAGTTCGACGCTCGGATAACTAAGCTACACAGCCTCATGACTTCTTATTTGCAAATATTATTATTAAGTATCTTTCAAAATGAAGCGAGGCAACTGTACAAGATATATTTATGAAAGTACTTTCAAGGAAATTAAAAATTCATTAGCCATTAAATGAATATACATATATACATCGTTTAGTGCTATTCCCTGTCTGCGAGACATAAAATCAATATGTCCATTATAAATGTGATTTGATGTCCATGAATTTAAAGTAGAGTGGAAAATGTGGGAGGCTCCACATTAAGCAAATGGGGCAGACGGCACGCGCGCCAAATTGTTGGGGTTAGGCAAAACAAGCAGCATTTGGGCGTGGCAAAGGGGCTGAAGGGGGACTGTTTTTGCTGCAAACAAATGGACAGACTTTGAACTATGGCAGTTTTCAGTGTAAATTCCAAAAAAGATACCAAAATGACCGAGAGAGCGCAAGAGGTTACCTTAAACAGAAAGTAGGGGAATGTAGAATTATGCAATACAAGCTGAATTCAAGAGCTCCCAATTAGCTACAGTCAAGTCTCTACTAACGAACAGGTCTCTTTGTAGGGCATATCCTTGAACGTACCTTATATTTAGGTACGGTGAAAGCTCTTTAAACAAACAGCTCTCTTGGTAGCACATATTCTTTACTGTACTTCTATTTAGCTACAGTGAAACTCTAATAATGAACCCCTCTCTTGGTAGCACATAATCTTGACTTAACTTCTATTTAGCTACAGTGAAAGCTCTTTAAATAAACAGCTCTCTTGGTAGCACATATTCTTTACTGTACTTCTATTTAGCTACAGTGAAAGCTCTACTAACGGATAGCTTTCATGTGCATACATTACCGAGCAGAAAATCGTCTTCCAATTATTCAAACACAAAAAGTTATACAAAAATTGGACTCAAGAATTAAAAAGGCTACAAAATATGTAGATTTAAACTAGAATATGCAATTTTTTGAAGCCAGAACAGAAAAGTGTGGAACAGAAAAGTGGAAATTTTCGTACCAAAAAACTTTTTAAATTATTTTCGTTTTTATAAAAGGACATCACCATTATTTCCTATTTACTTTACGACTATGTTTTGAATAGTTATGAATAATGATTTTGCTGCGACAGGCAACACCCTTAGCGAGTTTTCACTGTACATGCACTCATACATATGTTAGGATAAACATAAACTCACCTCGGCCGATTTTGCATAAAGTGCTGTCCACCGAATATGACGAGCATGTAAATGCCGCAATAGTAGAAGACCCAGGTCCAGTTCTCCAGCATCCATTTGCGTGTGCGCTGGTGTATGAAATCGTTCTCGAAATCGAAGATATAGGAATAGTTGGGCGTAACGCTAATGTCCATGTTGATCATTGTGCTGGCTGTTGTTGTTGTTCTGTGCGGTGTCTGAGTATGGGTTTAGTGGCGTGTGTGTGTGTGTGTGCTTGTGTGTGGCGAGTTTCTATAGAGATTAAAAACAATAGAGGACAGGTATTATAGAGACTTTGCTAAGACCCAATGCTTAATGCTTATCAAAAATCACAGGCATGCACGAGTATTAAATTGGTTTTTTTCCCAATTTTTTTTTTTATTTCTTTTCAAAGATTATTAACTTTATTTGTCTTGACACTAAACTTTGACCCGCGACAAGTAGAAAGCGCGCGTTTCTTGTCTCGCATAAATTTCTTGTCTTTCGGCGAGTGACCTTCCACAGTTGGGTCCATTGATTTTGCATAAACACGTCTCAAGGGAGAGTGCGAGGGAGAGAGAGACAACAGAGTGGGAGCGAGCGCGGCTGCTGCTGCTCTCTTAACACACATACACGCGCACAAATGCAACTCATTCATGAATGACGGCGGCGGCTTTTTTTCTTCTTTTTCATCTTCTTCCGCTATTCACACCTTCGCCCAGTCGCCAACATGCACTTGTCGCATTAGTGTTAAAAGCGCCAGGAACTAAGGAGGAGTAGGAGATTGAGAGGTAAGTCGCGCGCGCGACAGTCTGGCGGCTGCTGCTGCTTGCGTCTCACATTCATTCATTCATTCATTCTCTCAATATTTCAGTCGCAGCGCCGTCGCGTGTCTCGTGCGGCCGCAAAAAGCTTTGAGCAGTAGCCAGAGCAGGCCGACTAAATAAAAAACTAAAGTGCGTAACAAAGCGGAATGCGAAAAAATATAAAATATCAGCGGAGCTGGCAGGTGCCGGCAGAGGGTTGCAAGCAAGAAAAGAAAAAAAAAACAACTAAATAACAATTAGACAAGCATACATATGCATGCACGTATTTGAATGTCTAATTGCATGCCAGACACGCGACAGTTTGGCTACGCACACGAGCCCACACACACACACGCGCACACACACATACACGGCTACACACAGGTAATTTCATTTCATTTCGTTAGTAAGCTAAGCTTTGGCGTATCATATCCGGTTTTTTTTTTCATTTTTTTGCGGCCCAACGCTTTCAAAATTTCTAGTGAAATTTTTTGCCGCAAAGGTTTTCATGTGCATGCATACACACATATGTATATGCAGGCATGCATGTGTGCGTTTGTATGTGTGCATGTATGTTTCATGTTGTCGCACCACCCTGGCAAAAATAAAGGCAAAACACGCGTTTTGCTTCACATTCATCTTCTCGCCCATTCGATGGGCTTTCATCTTCTCTCATTTTATGCTGAGAGCGCGCCGACGTAATCGATAAAGTACACAAATACGATAAAAATACATGTGGCAAAAAGGCAGGAAAAAATTTCCTATATGCCGCCAGAAAGTCACAGTTAATCGCACTCAACGCAACACACTCTCTAATTTATTCAATAAATACCGCACATTTAATATTGCGTTTAATGCATTTACTTTTGTTGTTTTCGTTGTTGTTGCTGCTGCTGTTGTATTTATGCGCTGGCCAGCCTTTTAACGCACGCGCTACACTTTTTGATTTTGTCCGCTAATAGGGAACTCTCTTTTTGAGCAGCCGGCGTACCACTGAGCGCAGTTGACTCGCTGCTTGGCGTATTTAGGTTTTTATTTAAACAATTTACAGACGAGCGCGAGCACCAATACCACCAGCGCGTGCGGCCTACTCGTTCAGTGGCTATTTTCATTCTGTTAAGCTTAACATTGTTTTTATGTTAACAGTTTTGAAAATGTTAAGCCAAACGATAGTTACTATCGATACGGCCGCCGCGATTGTTATCGTTGTGCAAGAGTGCACCAGTTGGAGTTAGCAATTTATCAATGCAGCCCTCGTCAGTCAGCTGTTTTTAATAGATAACATGGCGGCAAATTTAAAATATAATGAATTCAAGCAAATGTTTCTAAAAGTCTAAAAATTTTATATATATTTTTTGTGGGTTTATTTGGCTTGCACAATGTGCACAATGTTAGCTTTGTGTATATTTAAATACATGTTCGTATCTTCGCAATGCATGCACATCTTCCAGTGCTGTACAACATCGCAATGAAAGTAGCTTAAGCAGCCGTTATGAATTTAAAATTTTGTTCAAAGTAGTTCTTCAATATATATTATTTATTACATCAATTACAAACAGTATATAGCAAACATAATGCATAATTTGTTGTATAAACCTAGCTACTTAATTTGATTAATATTACACCACATTCAATTTATTTTTTGTTTCCATTTTTCTTTAACATATACATACACATTAATATTTGTATCAAATATGTCTATAGAATTCGCTAAAACTAAAAATGCTTTTTTTATTGTTGTTGTTGTTTTTTATACTAAATAAACACTGGCAGCTGCTGAAACATTTCGCAAAAAGTCCGGCACCCCGAAAAAAAAACCCAACACATTAACATTTAATCCCATTTGCAAGCTATTCAGGATTGCGTCTGTGGCAACAAATATGCAGCTGCCACTCACCGGCAAATGAAGAGAACAAAAATAGAGTAGAAACATTGCAGACGCATAATACCGACTGTACAATACTCTGTTTACAGTGTGAAAATGGTTTAAATCAGTCGATAAGAGTTATCCTAGGCATTAAGATTGCCACGCCCCCTAGAGGTGCAGATGTATATATTCGGGTTTATGTATATTTGAAAGCTTGACGCTTATGCAGACAATCGGACGTCTAGCTGAGCTTTGCTCGAAGCCCATATACCCAACTTCCCTTTAAGAACAGGGCATAAAAATGTTGAAAATAATTGTAATGTTCGTTTGAATATTTGCTTCATATGGATTTCATATTGCATATTTTTTGCCTTTGTTTTCGTTTTTTTTTTACCAAGTTTTTTTTAATGTTATGGCCATGTGTGTGTTAATTCCCCCTTTCCCTATCGTTGGCACCCGCGCAACGTCAGATTTCATTATCAATTTCACAAAAATGTTTACAACTTTTTATAACCTCTCAGGGTTATATTCAAATTTTGTCACAAAGCGTGTAGAGCCTAGAAGAAGATGTGTCTATGGAGTGTATATATGTATATTCTTGATCAGGATCTGCAGTCGTTATGGATATATCTGCCGGGTTTTATGCAAACTAGACTCTTAATCTTAAAGCTGTCGGATCGAAAGTCTATATCATATAGCTGCCATAGGAATGATCGGTCGAAAAAAAAGTTCTTATTTGGAAAACTTTTGCATTCCTCAAGATATCCTGAACAGACTTAACATTTATGCTAGGAATACTTCCATGAATCTCCCAATATCTTGTCAAAATCGGATTACTATATCATATAGATCACTATAGATTACTATATCATATAGATCTGTAGCTAGAATCGGTCGTAAAAATCAGTTTTTGTGTGGAAAACTCTTTTCTTCATTAAGGGGCTTCACAATTCTCGTCAAATAGCTGCAGCAGAGTATTTAATCTTCGGTGTGCCGTTCTTTCTTGTGTTTGTGTGTTGGATTCTGGTGGATTTTTGCGTTTGGTCGCCACGTCAACCGCCAGCACAGCCAATTAAGCAAATTAAACAGATTGTTATCCTGTCCAGACAGGACTACGGGCCGCAGCAGACCCGCCTCCTGACAGGCCCGGCTCCAGACAACATGTGTGCGCGCGCGCGCTTAATTCAATCAACGTCACATAATTACTTAATTAATTAGATGCGCCCGCAATCCCGCAACCCCGTCCGATCACACATTCAAATCGGCCATCATTTTGCGAAAATCATTTAGCGAGCCGTACATCTCAAAGTCGCCTCCGTTCCCGTTCCCGTTCCCGTTCCCGCTCCCATTACCGTAGGCCTGCGTCTGGGCGCGAATGTGCGCGGGGCGTGGCAGGGTCAGCGGCACCGGCAACAACTCCGGCATCACGGAATGATGCGTTATCAGGGCCCGCAACGAGCTGAACTCCTTGGTGAAGCCCTGTTGGAATAGAAGGGATTAGGAGGGTTTTCTCTTGGCTCCCAGTTGAAAACCTACCTTAATCTTGTAGCCGCGCTGCGTGCGGAGTATCAAATAGTGGGCGACGCGCGGCGAGGGCGGCGGCACGCGCAGCGACAGGGCAAAGCAGCCGGGCTTGGTGCTGCTCTGGCGGACCAGAAAGGCGCCCGGACTCTGGCGGGAGAGCACCTCCAGTGAGATCTCTCTGGGTATGCCCGCCTGGTACCAGGCGGCGCCTTTCAGCTCCTGCTGCTCGGCCAGGCTCAGGTTGTCCAGGCGCAATGGTGAATTCGCCGCAAACAGCTTCGGACTGGAGTTGGCTGTGCCAAAGAAAATATAAAAATATGCTTAAGGTTTATTATTCAAATTCATAAAATAACACTTTTCCACCTTTATTCCGACCGTAAGTTTAAAATTTACTTAGCCGTCAATCGTATAAATGTTTTTATTCAGCTTTAAAAATTAGTTTCAAGTGTTTTGGTCTCTTCTTGAACTCTCGCCAAATGGATTTCCATTTCCCAATGGACACCATTTCGAAACCCATTTTTTATCTAGGAAAGTGGACTTCTTAGTCTTTATTACGTCTCAAATTAATTTTCACATTTTCCACCTTTTTGAGTGGAATTTGATATAGATCAAAAGTTTCACTTATTTTTCACCTTTCTAAGTGGAACTTGTTGTCTTCGTTGACCTTTTATCAAATTTTCATTTCTATAAGTGCAACTTAATTTGTTTTCTTGTCAATCAAATGAAAATCTAAACAGTTTCCCACCTTTATAGGTGGAATTTGAGATTCACCACAACTTTCACCCATTTTTCACCCTTCTAAATTGAATATTGATATGCAAAATGATATAGTATATTACATTACATACATAATCTATATTTATTAATTAAATAATGTATCCTTCACCAGTTTTCCAAACTTATATGTGAAATTTCAATGAAATTTTTATTCATTCGAATTTTCACTCATTTTCCACCATTCTAAGTGGATCTTAATATCCTATATGCGGTCTTCGTTCACCATTCACCGAATTTTCACCTCTCTCAGTTGAAATGAAAAACTAATCTTTTGCCAGCTTTCCACCTTTCTGAGTGGAATTCTACACACATCAAAACATTCACTAATTTTTCAACTTTCTAACTTAATATAGTAAATGTAGTCTTCGTTTTCTATTTGTTAAATTTGCCACACTGTCATTTTCTTATATATCGAACACACATTCACCCATTTTTCACCCCCACTAAGTGAAATTCGATAGATTCTTACCGCTGCATGTCTCACGCAAATATTTCTTGCTGTTGGGCAGCTCCGACTGTAAACGTTGGGTGGCCGTTTCCAGAGCCGTCAGCGATTGCCGACAGGAGTCACCGAATTTGCTGGCCACATATTTATCCGGCTCGCAGATGGCCTCGTTCACATAGCCATCCGAAATGGTCTGCGATGAGCCCGAGTTGAGCGAGGAGGAGCAGGTGTTGTGCACCAGCGGGCGGCTATCCTCGGTGCCACGCAGCAGTCCAATGCCCATGGTGAGGCGTTTTACCTGAAAACGAATCAAGGGAATGGGCATATTGTTACATATATTTGCATGTCTCGGATTCGTGTTTGGCTGCCAATTTGGCTAGAAAGTTGTTGTTGTCGACGCAACGCGATAATTGCAATTTACTTGGCCCTCAACAGTTGTGAAACCATTTTATAATCAAAGTTGCTGTTGTTTTCAGCCTGGCCACAATGCCAGCTAACAACGAAATCACTTTAGTTTGACAGAACAACAGAACCACGACAAACTTACTTTGGAGTGCTCGACGAGGAGATACCCTGTGTTCAAGTTAGAATAGAGGCTGAACTATATCGATTAAAATTCCAAATTTGACGCATTCATCTTTTATAAGTCCAAAAGGCCGCATTTACTATCCGATATTTATCGATTTGGGGAATCAGCTTTCGTTATCGAAAAAATAAGTTGTTTTATATCTTAAACAAAAACCTACAGGCCATTTTTGGCATATTCATCTCTTGTAATATAAAATATATGCTCCAAAAGCCAGGGATAGTTATCGATAGTTATCGATTTTGATAAAGTAGCTGGGGTTATCGCACAAATGAGCTGCTTGATATCTTAAACAAAAACCCATATGCCTAATTTGGCGCATTCATCTCGTATAGTCTAGAATATATGCTCAAAAAGCCACTGCTTGTAATCGATATTTATCGATTTTGTTGAATAATGCTTTGTTATCGAAAAAACTAGTTGAATGATATCTTAAACGAGGAACGTTATGCCAATTTTGGCGTACTCATATCTGATTACATAGAAGATATGCTCAAAAAGTCGGAGCTAATAATCGATATTTATCGATGTTGTTCAAAAATGCTGTATTATCGAGAAAAAATGAACTAATTCCCAGTTTGCACAGCTGCAGAATACCCCACTTTCAGTGCTTACAGGGCATGACAGCAACAAGCAACCGCCTTAAATCGATGTGTAACATTTTTGGTTAGCAATAAAATGCTAACTATGTAGTCGGTACTTTCAGTTCTTGGCAGCCCCACAACTTTTCCGGGGAAGTTGTTTTCATTTTGGGCTGCGGTAAATTACTTTGAAATGAGTTAAAGCAGAAAGTTTAACGTGCTTTTAGGGCGCCATTTAAAGCGCTTCCAATTAGTAGACAGTTCTGGCCAAGTGTTGAATGCTGCTGGCAGGCCCCAACCCCTCCCCTGCCAGCTCCCTCCGCCTTATAAGTTATTTACCTAATTTGTTATAATTATGTTGATTTTATGTAGCTGCCAAAATGTCCGGGGCCAAAATATTCTCTTTTGATGTGGCTGCCTTCAATGGCCGCTGCCTGTTGAACTTCCTGGGCCGAGCCCGAAAAAGCCAACTAGAGTCCATTTTGTTATACTTATAAATGGGAATTTTGTGTACAAATATTATGTGCATTTTCTAAGAACTAGAAACTGTTGAATATGCATAAGGATAAGATTTAACTAGCATAAATTCTTTAACTCTACTTTGCTTGATTTTAAGTAAAGTTTGATAAAGAAAAATCCACAAATTTATTGTGAATGACTTTAGTCTTTAAGACTTTAGATATTTGTTAAAGTTTATAGATTTTAAAAATAGATAATGATGCTTAACTTAACCGTTAGAGTGACTCTTCATCTAAATTTAACCTTCTTCAATTAAATACTGTAATAGTTTGTTTCCGATAATCGATTACTTGTCCCGTTTTCGAGAAATCGATAAAAATCGATATCGATATCGTGTTTTTCAGCAAATCTTCTAGGGTTGACGTGAAGTATCTTTCATTTTTTTATTTCAAAGCTACGAATATTTAATGACAATTTTTGTAGACCTTCTTTCGATTATATTGTGTATTTTATCAAAAATGTTTGATTTTTGTATACGAAGTAGGAAAGTAATTGCAAATTGTTTTCAAATTTAATATTATTAAATTTCTAAATTGTGATCAATTTCTAGCCATCAAATTAGTACATCATGCTAAAGGATCTGCTCCTCAGTAAAAGATTCTTTTTTGATTTAAGAGTTTGTTACTTTGCTGCCAACTGTGAATCATTTTGCAATTGCAGCTAATTGAATTGGCAGTCGGCACTTGTTTTCTATCGTTAAGTATGCAATCAGTACCAGAGGGGTTGCCGGAGGAGGGGGTTGGCGGGGGGGGGGGGGGTGGGGGCAACCTAATGGCCCCATTATGCTAATGACATTGGAGAAAAGACTATCGCAATATGCAAAATCCGTAGCAAGAGCAAGAGAATGCGCCCAAGTGGCACTCGGCAGGCGATGCTCGACAAATCCGACAACTGCTAGAAAAAGGCGTAAATATAAAAAATGCAAGGCGAATGCAATGAGAGAAGAATAGAGACAAGAAGATGTAGAACGAGAGGCGAACGAGAGGAAGAAGAGTGCAGGAGGAACAGGCAAAAGGTAGGCATTGTGGGAACAATGGAACAATTGGGCCGGGGGCGTGTCTAAGTTGAAAGCAATCGTAAAGTACTCCTTTTCAATACCCTGTATTCAACGAGCGACTCAAATGGGGTATATCGAAGGTTATAGTACGTTGGTGACAGGCAGAATTTTGTGTTTCTTGTGCAAAAACATATATATTTCTTTGATTATATCTCTGTTGCTGGGTTTCTCTCTCTCTCTCTCTCTCTCTCTCTCTTTTTCTCTCTAGTCCTCTATCTGTTCTTCTGTACGAACCAGTGCGTCTCAAAAACTATATAAACTGGAACTGCTAAATTTGTTATATATTTCTGTCCGCTGTCAGTAAAATTATAAGTCGAACACGTTTGCCTGCGAATATTTTGTACAGGGTATGTCTATCTCTATGCTATCAAAGATCTCTTTTGGGCTGGCATTTGATTTGAGCTTAAGCCCCAATGTTTTACAGCACTAATTTAAATATTCTATTATTTCTAGGGTATTTGCTAGTCGAGTTTATTTAATTCTCTTTTTTTCTCTGCTAAGCCTTGGATATTTCGAAATTTGCTTTTTACAACGTTTTTTTTTGCATACAGGGTATTACACAGCCGAGCACTCTCAATTAGTGCATTCTTTTGATTTGGTCCTGTTTGCTCTCCTCTCTCTTTCGCTGCATCTTTTGTCTGTCTTTTAGTTGGCAGCAAAGTTTTGCCCGTTGCCGGCAGCTGCAGCTGTCAGCTGTAGGCCTACTGCTATATAGTATATATATATATATATACATATATATATATGTATATATATGTGTGTGTGCGATTGTGTGTGTGTGTGTTTGTGTGTAGAAAACAGGACACGTAACGACGCAGCGAGAGGTTTTTGTCGGCATTGTTGCTGCAATTTATGTGTCATAAAGTCACTAAGTTAACGGCATTTGGCTGCCATTTGCCTGCTGCAACTTTTTCATCTCCCACACGCACACTCTCTCGCTCTCTCTCTGTGTGCGTGTGTGTGTGTGTGTGTGAGAGAATGCACTAGAATATGGCGCGTTGCACTTCAGCTTGCCAGTTGTTTTTGTTGCTGTCGCTGCTTTTGTTTCTTGTTGGAATTGCCGGCGGCGCGTGCCAAAGTGCCGTTAGCTGAAAATTTGCATTTTTGCAAATTAATTTAATGAACGCTTTTGGGTCTTGTTTAGTGGCAAACATTTTTCGAGTACACCGTTCCAAGCCGTTCGAAGTGCTTGCTAAATTGCATTTGATTTTCGAGTGATGGCAATTTGTTTGCCAGTTAAAGCTTCTTTTTTTTTGGTTAGCTTAAAGTTAGCTATTGCTCTTGAAATGAAAGCTCTTTTTGTGTGCATACTTGACTTAAATTAAAGTGGATTAAAAAAAGTAAATGCTCTTAGGCGAGTAAATAAAGAGAGAGAGAGAGAGACTGGCAACAAGCTGCGTCTGCTGGAAGAGGCTTTAGGTTCATGTTAAATGTTCATGTTAGTTAGAAATAGGTTACATTTAAATTTAATTAATTTAAGCCAGAACGAAGCAGAATAAATTAAAAAATAATAAAGTAAGAAATATATTAGAACTACAAATAATTTCTTTTAACAATAAATTTGTAATAGCTATGTATATTTATCCTCTTGTCAGAGAAAATGTTCAAATTCCTGCAAATGTGGCAACTCTGTGCCGATAACAATAGTCGATAGGCTCGATAAGTTAAGAAATTAAGTACATATCAGGCCTTTTTCAATGCTGCCAAATTTTTTGTTCAATTTTGACATCAGATCAGCTAACATGCACATGAGAAAACGAATTGAGGCTTGACAGGCTGAAGAAGTTGAAAGGCTAAGAAGTTGAAATTAATATTAAACCCATATTTAAATAATATCATATTTATCCAAAGAAATTTGTTCATCTGCTGCATTTTGCTACACATCTTTTCTAAAATATTTTCCGTAGCTCTCGCGTCGCTCTCAATATACATTTGCCAAGTTGGCAATATTAATGATATTTCTTGAAGGTTTTTTACTTTCAGCAACTATTTGTCTTGCGCTGCCTGGGAAAGAGACTCCTGAAAGTATGCAACTTTTCTTGTTGTTGCAATTTGCTCATTTTTAGCCCGACTTTCATTTAAATTTGGCAGTTTATTTGACTTGGCAGCTGCATTGGCATTCAAATTGAATCGATTTCTGCTAACCAACCACTGAAATCATCAAACGTAAGCAGATTTATGTTACAGAAAGGACACGATTGCAAGGACAATGTCGAAGTGCAATATTTCATATTGCGAAGAGGAGTGAATAGATATCTCTGGGTTGTCGAAGATTAGATACACTTGCGAGTATTAGATAGCTATGGGATTTTGATTGCAAAGATAAGATTATCTATGCTTATCCCTATCGCATTTATCTAATATTGTGCTTTCATGTTGAAGATAATGTTAAAGCTCTTGTATATATTATAAGATACTCTGCGGGAAGTACTACATATCGAAATAGTGTAGTTGTTGGACTCACCAGCGGCGGTTTATCAACCAAACGGCGACAATTATTCATTTCAGTTGGGGAATTGTCCTCCTCGGAGCTGGGCGAACGTGGCACTTGCTGCTCCTGGCCATTGTTGTGGCTGTGTGCGTGATGGCTGCTGTGCAGCAGCTGCAGCTGCTCCACGTGATGCCGCGGCGAGGCACGCGGCTGCACCGGATGCGGATGCGAATGCGGATGCGAATGCGAATGCTGATGATGATGATGTTGATGTTGATGATAGAAATGCTGCTGTGTTGGGCCTGTGCCGCCCGTTGTGGGTGGGCTGCGTGGACAGGTGCGAGTTTTACCTATTGTGACAGACTTGAAAGCAGCTGCAACTTACCTGAAACTTAGCTCGGGCAGCAGTTGGGGCAGGGGTCGAGCTGTGGGCGAGCCTGTTGCTGAGCCTGTCGTTTCGCCAGTCTCGATGAGCGTTGTCTCCGCGTTGGATGCGGCTGCTGCTGCTGGCGAGTTGGAGAACGCGGCTGTATTATGTTGCGGCTCGAGACGTAGTCGTATATCCTGCATGGCCATGGGTTTTATGCCTCCGAACACCTTACAGCATCTGGGGGAGAGAGAGAGTTGGGCGAGCTTGTTAAAAAGAAGTTGCCAAGCAAATCCATTTCCTTGGCCAGAACTTTTCGACCGCCTTTTTGGTCACTTTTTGGTTAATGCTTATGATTTCTTGCCTTTACTTTCTATTTTGGCCGTAACATATTTCTGCTCTTTCTTGTGAAACTTTTGCTTTAAGAGCTCTCAAGTTTGTGGGCTTAAAGGCCGCCAGCGGCTGCAAACTTTTTGCCCGCAACTTTCAGCTTATTGAATTTTCACATCGCACACACTCGCACACACACACACACAGACACATGCATGTGCGTGTGCAGCTTGTAAAAGTTTTAATGCAATTTTAAGCCTTTGCCTATTAGTTGCAAATCGTTTCCAGATTTTCAGCATATTAATTTTAAAGCTGCGGAAACGCTTTCTTCTGGTTTTTGCCAGCCAAAAAGTGCTTTTTAATTGCCAGCGAAGCTGTTGCAAATTGGGTTAAGGTTGTGGCATGACCACAGCTGCCAACTTTTCAACCGACTCCGACTCCGACTTTGGCTCCGGCTTTGGCTCCGGCTTTGGCTCCTCTTTCTATATTTTCGTTGCTCTTGGCGCCATTCACCTACATTAAGGCAGCCGACAGCAACAATGCCAAGGCACAAAAGGCTGTCAGTTTGTGGATAACAAAGCAAATGCAACATTCAAAAAAGAAAATGCGGGCAACGCCTTGAGCATATTTAAAGTGTGCTCGACTTGAATATGCTCAGCAAAATGTTAAAATGAAAACGTGCAAATTGACACTGCAGCAACAGCTTATACAACAAACCTGGGCTCACCTTGGAGGCAAATAATAACTCACATATCCGTGCACTATTATTTTGTTGCCATCTAGATGAAAGACAGGCATTCATTTATATATATATATCAGATTAAAGTAAGTGCTAGTCATAAGAATTTAAATGAGAGAGAGAGAGATGGATATGTAGGGAGGGAGAGAGATAGAGAAAGAGACAAAGCGTAAAATTTGAGTTAGACTAATATAAGAGAAAACTTATTGGATAGGCAACACAGCGCAGTCATATAATCTAGCATGAAAACTGAAGGGTCCTACTTGAATTCATGAGAATCGAGTAGAAGGGCAACATTTAAAAATAACGGAGCAGCAAGAGGTAAACTTTGTCTGCATTTGGTGCAACAGACCATACACGAATAAAAACATAAATGTATACATATGTACATAAATACATAAATACATCATATATACACACATACATAATAACTTACATATATTCATATACAAAATTAAATTAAACATAATCTGCGTGTGGAATTAGACAACGTAAAAAGTCAAACTTTATATATACGTATAGATAATTACAAAATTGGATAGATTAAACCCTTTCGGGCATTTTAAACAGGGTATTAAAGTAATCGGGCAAAGCACCAGGCAGCACATTGGCCATAAAACTGAATGAGAACCTAAAGAAAAACTGCAGTTGAGGTCTGCATTAAAGAATTCTCCAAGTCAAGTTCAGTTTAAGCTATGCAAATGCGTTTGCTGTTGCTGCAGTCGATGTTGCTGCCGTTGATGTTGCTGCCGTTGATGTTGCTGGCGTTGATGTTGCTGCTCTGCATTTAACAAGTATACGCCATGTTGGCTGTGCATTAATTTAACAAACGACGACGACAATGAGACACAAATGTGCTGACATTTGGCACTTCATGTAAAAGTTGCTTTTGCATAAGTTGCAAAATGTCAGCAGTGACAAACGGAAGCAACAGCAACAACAACAACAAAAGCAACAACAACAATCGGCAACTGGCTTATCTGGCATTATAATTCTCTTGCAATTTCTCGCCGCTCGGGCACACCCAACATGTTCATTTAACTTGTCATACACGAATGCATCAAAATGTTTTCTGTGCGGCGCACAACAACAACAACAACAACAACAGCAAATTTGAAGAGTGACAAATTTCATAGCACGCTTTTGTGCGTCTTTTATGCCCTGTCAAAACTTTCTACTCATATATATATATAGAAAAATACTTGCGCACATTTCTGCTTTATTTGCGACTGCCTCAAATCAAGCAAAAGTTTAGTTCGATAAAATGCTTTTTATTTTATTTATTTACTTTTTTGTTGGTTAAAAAAAACGTATTTTTATTGCAGTTCTTGTTTTTGCGCTCAACAACAAAAGTTTTTATCTTTTCGTGGGAAATGGCAGCGCCTAAAATTGCCAAGCAACAACAATAACTTTCAATACTGCAACTGCAATGCAAAATATAAAATAAAATGGAAACAAGGTAAACAACAATTTGGTTATCATATTTGTTTTCATCATTTTTTTTTGTAACTGGAGAAAGAGAAACTATTTGTAATTCATTTAGTCCATATGTTGAAATAATTGAATTGAATTTTATATGTTTCATGAAAGTTTTAAATAAGCCCTATAAAACTTTATAGAAAATACATTTTATTAATTGAGTTTTAAACAATTAAAATGCGAATTTTTAAGTTATGTCAATTAATTAATATTAAATTATTTAAGTTAGCTGGTTAAGTTATCTTAACTAACTTATTTCAACTTATGTATACGATTTGTACTGACCGAATTATTGACTGAATAGTCTGCTTGCCTGATCGAACGACAGACTGATTGATTGATTCGTTATTAACGCATAACCAAAGCCTGCTACGAAGTTTAAATGTATGTTTTACACGCTTTTCGCCACATTCATGGCTTAAACTTTGCTTTGATATATATTCTTATATATTATACAAGAATATTGTTGCCTGATTTAGCTGCCAACTCGATTTAGAGGCAAAATCAAGAACAAAGAACCAAACCTCGTGAAAATCGGATGAGATTTGACCGAGTTATGGGGGTGGGAAATTTTGCCCAATGTCTTTACAGGATATTTGAGAGTACAGTTGTTACATGAATTTTGGCCAGGACACATGTTTCCAGATTTGGATGCCAAATTGATCTAGAGGCCAAACCATGAACAAAGAGCCAAATCTCGTGAAAATCGGATGAGATTTGACCGAGTTAAGGGGGTGGGAAATTTTGCCCAATGTCTTTACAGGATATTTGAGAGTACAGTTGTTACATGAATTTGGACCAGGAAACATGTTTCCAGATTTGGATGCCAAATTGATCTAGAGGCCAAGCCATGAACAAAGAGCCAAATCTCCTGAAAATCGGATGAGATTTGACTGAGTTATGGGGCTGGGAAATTTGGACCTATGTCTATATATGATACTTGGGGGTGCAATTTTCACATGAATTTTGAACAGGAAACATGTTTCCAGATTTGGATGCCAAATTGATCTAGAGGCCAAACCATGAACAAAGAGCCAAATCTCCTGAAAATCGGATGAGATTTTACCGAGTTATGGGGCTGGGAAATTTGGACCTATGGATATATAGGATATTTGAGGGAACCATTTCCACATGAATTTTGACCAGGAAACATGTCTCCAGATTTGGATGCCAATTTTTTCTAGAGGCTAAACCATGAACAAAAAGCAAAACCTTATGAAAATCTGTTGAGTTTTGACTGAGTTTTGGGGTTGGGAAATTTTGACCTATTTCTATATGTGTAGGTTATTTGAGGATACCATTTTCACATGAATGTTGACCAGGAAACATGTTTCCAGATTTGGATGCCAAATTGATCTAGAGGCCAAACCATGAACAAAGAGCCAAATCTCCTGAAAATCGGATGAGATTTGACCGAGTTATGGGGTTGGGAAATTTTGACCTATGTCTATATAGGATACCAGCGGGTATACACCGGCCTTGCCCGTGGCACATATAAAATGAACTCTCTCAAAAATCCGTGAAAAAGAGTTTGAAGCCGATTGGATGGTAAATAAAAAAGTTTTCTCGATTTTCCCACGCATGCTGGTGGAGTTTCCCGAAACCCGTCTTAAACACATAGGGTAACTACAGTTTTCAGCTTCCAAGCTCTTACGGTTTGAGCTCTGCGTTGCTCAGCAATCAGTCAGTTAGTCAATCAGTCAGGACAATCGGTTTTATATATAGAGATTATCCTATTATTATTATTATCTTACTTTTCCATCTGTATTTCATATAAACCTAGTTTTGCTATATTTTATTTTGTTTTCGTTTTGTATTTTTGCGTCTTAATTCCTCTTTGGCTTTATTCTAACTATTTGTAGCTGCATTCAGCGTCTCATTTCATAAAATTGAAATTTACCTTTATGTGCTGTCTGTTTCAGCTATTGCGCTTTCCTGCGTTGCCATTCCCAAAAGCTACTGCCCCAGACGGAACATATGAGTGGCTCATATCCGAGTGCTCAGCTCTGCTCTCTATATGTTTCTATATAGACTGCGACACACACACGCACACACACTCGCACACCCATAAGCACACACTCGCCCGGATCCGCACACACATTTGCTTGTTAGTTTATTGAAATTGATATTATGCGAGAGTTGCCGTCAAGCTAACTCTATAACGACGGTCTGGCAGTGGTGTCTGTCGGTGTCTGTCCCTGTTTGTCTTTTGTGGGCACTTTTATTTCTATTTTCATAGAGATTTTGTTACGAAATTCATTGTTAAATCGCTTGGAAATATTTTGGATAGACTGAAGACGCTGCTGTGTAGACTCTGATTGCCATATGAAAGTGTCCCATGTCTCATGTCTGCCGTTTCAGCTTGTTATTGTTTTTTCATTCTTTTTTATGCACTATACCCATTAAAGAAACAAGAGCAGGGTTGAATCATGATGTCAAAATGTTTGTCAAGGGCAGCGTGATACATCTCGGGCATTATAATACTCCTTTTGTTTCAGACATGTATCATTTAGGTGTTTTCTTAGTTAATGTGGATCGCTCTTCTATGTGATTTTCATAATGTTTTTTTTTGATAATATGAATTTAGCTGTTGCATCTATGTGCTGACTTCCTCTCTGACTTACTTTTCTCTCTGTCACTCTCTGTATATATCTGTATATTTATCGCTTGCTCTCGCATTTTTTCTCACTTT